ACTATAAACCCCTGCGTAAATCACCGTCCCTGCTCCCACAATGCAGTCTGTGGGGCACACGGTGGACATAATCGAAAACGATGGTCGAACTGTCGTCGTGTGTGTGTATGTGTGTCAAAAATTCTGAAAGCGTGTGCTATACCAGTCTCCGCATATCCTGACCCTCGCAGCCTGGTATGTGCTGGCATTTTCCTGACACGTGGTTTTCTGCCGGTAGAAGGTCCTGCGCTCCCGCTGGGTAAACAGGTTGTGGGCACGGCTGCCCAGTCATTTTCGTCCTTCTGACTCCTTTTGTGATGCTGTTGTTGTTGGTAGAAAATCCGGGTTAAGTGCGTTTTGTGGACTAGCATGTGGAGTGGCACGCCTAGGTGGATGTTCGGCCGCGCCAGCGATCGGCGCCCTCCTCCGCACCCGGTCTTCTTGACTCTGCCTTGATAGAGGGTCCAGGTGGGAAGTGGGGAAGAGAGAGAGAGTGCAGTAGACGCTCCGCAAGTCCACTATCACTATCAACTAAATCACGCGCAAGTCACCGTGCCTGCTGCACCTTGGTGTGTAGCACATAGTGGGCATTGTCGGAATCGACGGTCGAACTGTTGTCGCGTGTGTGTGTATGCGTTCTTCTTATAGCTTCAGCATGTCAATTGGGTGACGAATAAGGGCCTGTTATAAGGTATTCTTCATTCTGATTCATCCATTCTGCTTTGTTCGTGCTGGCCCTCTCGCTTGCTTGCTGCGGTCCTTACAACAAGGATTATTCACCGTATAACTCCAGAAAGCAGCGATTTCATAGGCCAGATCAATTTGACGTCAACTCCAACACTCCAGACGCTTTCAAACAATGGAATAATTGGTTCCGCACTTTTTAAAACTTCTTGTTCATATGCGTAGACCTGAAGCCGAATAAATGAAGCAATCTGACTAACTACGGTTCCCCGTCAGTCTGAGAATGTGTTAATGAATGATCCAGTTACGACGAAGCTGTTAAGTGACTACAAGATCTCTGCTGTATACCCAAAGACGAAATCTCCGCCCACCATCTTCTAACAACTACAGACAGGAAGGCGGACAGGCCCTAGGCCGTTTCGTGCAAAAGCTCAAGCCCTTAGCTAGGGACTGCGATTTCAAAGCCGTTACGGCAGAAGAAAATCGCGACGATGCCGCCAGAGATGCCTTCAACAGCGGCCTTCCGTACAACTGGAGTCTGCAGAGGTTATTGGAGTAGAAAAATTTGGGCTCTCACACTGCCCTTCATTAGGCAAGGTCTCTGAAATTGGCAGAAAGACACTCTCAATCGTATGGAATCCCTCCGATGACCTCATTCTTTACCGGCACTGAGCTATGTAAAACTCTGTCAAGCCCCGCTACAGAGCTAGACCCAGTGGTTTTTACTTCATCCCACAGTAAATGTCTCTTTTGTGGATACGACAGGTGCCACCATTTGATATGTCCCGCATGGGGTCATTATGCAAAGGATGCAGTACACAAAAGGGCACTTCCAAAAAGGTGTGTCTAGCATCACGAAACAGAAAGTTGTTTCATCTGCTGTGCATTTGACCGTGGCATCAGCTGCTGTCCGTGACTGCATTTCAAGCGCAGTGGTTGAACTACAGATGAACGGGACTGCTCTTCAGGCCGTGATTGACACAGGTAGTTTTGAGGGTTGTAGTTCATCTTCGGTTCTGTACCAAAATAAGTGGAAGATTTACAAATCTCGTACTACCACCGCCTTAATCAGCGTCACGCAAGGACATGTTCTTATCCGAGTAAATATAATCGTTCAAGTTACCAGGAGGTCAAGCTATCGGTCTTGCCGGATTTGTGCGCCAACGTTCTACTTAGACATGACCCTCTTCAGCTCCACAAGTGTGTTGAAAGTTCTTTTGGTGGACCTAACTCGACGTTCTGGCCTTGTTCCTCGGCTGCCACTTGCGTTGGGCCTCCCCATTTGTTTGCTAATCTGACAACGGACAGCAAGCTGATTGCTGCTTAATCTCGTAGACGCACTAACCTTGATGAGAGAGTTACACGAGAAGAAATGTGTCGCCTCTCTTCTGGAGGAGCAACTAAGCGTTTGTTTTCCCCTTGGCGGGCCCAAATTTTGATGGTAGTCAATGGAGGCCAAAAAAGGCGGATGTAGTCAAATGATCAACAGCCACACACTTCCAGATACCTACCCCTTCAGCAGAATAGACGAAATTACTGAAAATATTGGAAACTACGACACGTATATCACTCTTGACTTCAAGAGCGCTTATCACCAGGGCGGCGGATGCGTTTTCCCGTAGTTGCTGTCGGGCCCTGCTAACAAGGGTCTATCTGAAAGAACTACATGAGTCACCTTGTCATCGCGGTGTCTCTCGGCTGTCGCATTTTGTCCTCAGCTGGCATCTTCCCTTTTCAAATGAAGAAATTCGTAATGTTGTTGATAAATGCCAAACCTACTGTGAATTTCTTAAAAGCACAAGACAAATTCATAAAACTACCCAACCGTTCAAGCAATTGTCAATCGACTTCGAAGATCTACTTCCGTCAGTAACTCACAATCGCCATCTGCTGATGACGACTGAGGAATACTCTTGTATCCTACCTGCATTTGCTTGTCCTGATTAAAATGCCGAGACTGTCATTAGATGTTTATGCTAGCTGTTCCCCATATTCGACACTCCTTCCTACGTACACACCGATCGGGGATCGTCACTTGTGTTAGACGAAGTTCAGCAACTGCTTCGGAAAAAGAGGGTGGCGACAAGTGGGACCACTGCATACAATCGGTCGTTTGAATCAAACTAAATGGAACCCTATCTTACTCGATCTAAAATTCCACAGTCGGTCCGTCACTTACTGGAAATACATCCTATGCTATGATTTGCAATCAGTCAGACCACTTTTATGTGCAGGCCCTTAAAGAATTCTCTACAGCGATTGCATATCAATCCAGAGACCCGGGAGAACCTCGTCCAGAACTGACCAGCCTGGAGATGAGAAGTGAAGACTGGCGCAGCAAACCGGATAATCGCCGCCAAAAAGTAGGCTCGCAAGTCACAGGTGTCTCGTCTCCTAAATGCCAACAGTCAGCCGCTTCCAACGCATCCGCGTTGCCAACCCTCGGAAACAATAAACCAACAACCCGACAACGTCAATTTCCCCTCCTCCTAAGAACACCCCCAATATCACCCCTGCTGCAAACCCCGCTAAGACTACTACTCTCGTCACCGGTGATCAGACTGTCGATACTCCGATCTGCGGCATAATCCCCCTGTCTCATACTTCTGCGTCGATCACAGCTACCAGCTCCGCCAACACCACGACCTCTCGCACTCGCCCACCAATGGGATGACATCCGAAGCCGCGTCGTCTACTACCATCGTTATCACCATCCCCACCTTCAGCGATGTGGACTCGCTCCATACCTGTCCTGTATGCGATCGCACCTTCACCTCATACATCAGCCTGGTCGGTCACTTGTGAACCCATCGTACAGATTCTGACGAAACATTGCATGGAGCACCTACCTACACCCGCCGCATACCTCCACTGTCTTTACTGTCGCCACACATTCACTCACCGCCTGGGCCGTCCACGTCACATGTGCATTCACGAGAGGGTAGTTCACCGCAGTATCGACCTACACCCTACGCACACCGAACAGCGCACCTACCACAAGCAGCTCCACCACTGTCACCACTGAAACCGCTTCTGACCCTCCCGACCTATCCTGCACACAATGTCCCTGAACATTCATCGGCCTGGTCGGTCATTTGCAAATCCATCGCACAAAGACTGGCGAACCCAGTGCCCCGAGCACCTGCATACGCCAGATGCAGTCGGCAAGACTGCCTGCATTGTCCCGCACCCTCAGCCAAAACATGGCCTACTAGGCATTTAAGGAAACTTGCGGCAGATCACCGCCGCTTAAACCACAGCCTCCCATCTCTACTCATGAGTATCTGAAATGTAAGCCATTATTACACATCGAAAGTTCGATCGTCGATTTCGACGATGTCCACCGCGTGCCCCACAGCAAGTGGGAGCAGGGACGGTGACTTGCGCAGGGGTTTAAAGTGCCGGTAGGCTTGCGCTGCATCTACCTACACTCTCTCCTCCTCCCCCGCCTGAGCCCGTTGTCAAGACAGAGTCAAGAAGACCGGAGACGGGGAGGCCGCAGGTGGATGGCTTGGACGGATCCTCACCTTGGCGTTCCACCACACCCCCTGGTCCACACAACTAATAACGAGGATTTCAACCAACACAACAGAGATTTGGAGGCTGGCACGACCGAAGCCGCGCCTAGGCGTGCCGCCAACGCCTGGCTCGGATCCCACACTGTGGTAGGAGTGCCATAAAGGCCACATTAAAAAGGAGCCATTGCAGCCTGACTCTCAGACCACCTCCCGTGAAGGAGGAGGTCCAAGTTACACCCTCAGTTGGCAACCTTCCAAGCCACGGCTTTTAGCGCACCGTGATAGCTTCAAGCGCGTCAGATTGTTGATAGTGAGGAGAAAGTGCGCTGAGTCGTCGACCTCACTCTCCCTTCCCATTCCCACACCCCAGCCACTGTCCGAGCCGGTCAGTAGACTGGAGTGGGGAATGGGCGCGGTGGCTGAAATGGTCGACTGACCATGCCTGCGCGCGCCACAGCACGACCTGGCCCCCCATACACACAAACACCAGGATTTCACACGACGGGGGTTGAACGGCGTGTCTCTCACTTGCGTGAGAGGGCCGTGGAAGGTGCTGCTTCAGCCCGTCCCCAGCCTACCAGTCCGCCACTACACACAACACACACACAACGTGACGAACTGCGTGAACCGAGAATGGGCCTCAATCAGCAACCTTCCTATCCACGACACTTGACGCGTTGGGATAGTCTCGGACACAAGTCACCCGTGCAGCCGAAGCCGCATGGGGACCGAGTCGAGATGCACACTTCCCACTTGCGTAGGAGGCGGCAGTTGAGTGCATGAGGTGTGTAAGGGTTTATGTCTGGTGGGGTGATGGTGTTAGGAGGTAGGGAGTGAGGGAATGTGTGGTGTGACCGGCGGTTGTCTACCGCAGGTCGTCGTGGATGCGCATGTGGCCGAATAGACCAATGCGATGCGTGAAGGTGCGAGGGCAGTGTGGGCAGTGGAGGCGATAGCGGTGGGTGTAGGTTGGTGCTCCAGGCACTGGTTCGCCAGTCTCTGTGCGATGGATTCGCAAGTGACCCACCAGGCCGATGCATGAGGTGAAGGTGCGTGGACAATGTGGGCCTGAGAGGCTGGCGGTGTCGGTGTCAGCTGCAGAGGAAGCAGTGGTGTTGGTGGTGGTGGCGGTGGTCGACGCGTGTGACGGTGAAGCGAGGATTGGTCTGGGCGTGGTGGATGTGTTGGATGTCGTGACTGTATCGGAATTGTGGTCAATTCCGCTCTCGTGGATGCGCATGTGGCCGAATAGACCCATGCGATGCGTGAAGGTGCGAGGGCAGTGTGGGCAGTGGAGGCGAGTGCGGTGAGTGTAGGTTGGTGCTCCAGGCACTGGTTCGCCAGTCTCTGTGCGATGGATTCGCAAGTGACCGACCAGGCCGATGCGTGAAGTGAAGGTGCGATCGCAGTGAGGGCAGATGTAGTCCTGGCCCTCACGTCTGATGATGGAGGTTGCAGGGGTTGTGCCTGTTGTTGTGTCAGGTTCGGCTGTGGTGAGGTCGTGGCAACAGACGCCGAAGCGGCCGTCGTTGTGGCAGTGAAGGAGGAAGAGGAGGAGGAAGGGGAGGAATGAGGGGTGGTAAGGTCGGTGGCGTCGATGTCAGCTGGGGAGTGGTTAGTGGGTGCACAGGGTGGTGTATTGGGAGTGGTCCTCGGCGGGGTGGGTGTGTCAAGGCTGCGGTCAATTCCGCTCTCGTGGATGCGCATGTGGCCGAATAGACCCATGCGATGTGTGAAGGTGCGAGGGCATTGTGGGCAGTGGAGGCGAGTGCGGCGGGTGTAGGTTGGTGCTCCAGGCACTGGTTCGCCAGTCTCTGTGCGATGGATTCGCAAGTGACCGACCAGGCCGATGTGTGAGGTGAAGGTGCGGTCACAGTGAGGGCAGGTGTAGTCCTGATCCTCATCACTGGAATCGAGTGATGTGGGGGTGGTTGTGGTTGTTGTGTCGTGGTTGGCGATGTGTGAGACGGCAGTCTGAACGGCCACCGCTGGGGCAGTGGAGAAGGAGGAGGATGGAAGTGGTGGAGCAGAAGGAGTGTCAGAGTTAGTTGGCGGAAGAGAGGAGGAGGAAGAGGCAGGCGGGGGAACGATGGTTGGTGCCGTTCGAGAGGCGCAGTTAATCCAAAGATGTCCAACAAGTCCGATTCGTGCCCGGAATGTCCGTTGACATCGAGGACACGTAGGGGGAGGTTGTGCGGCGGCGTTGCGGACTGGGAGAAGTTGTGATTTGCGGGCTTCGCGTTTCGCTTTGGCGGCGGCGATTCGGTTGGCTTCATAGATAGCAGCGCCCGTCTTCACTGTTCTCCTCCATGTCGGACGATCGCGAGCGAGCTCTTCCCAGTTGGTCGGTTTGATTTGAAGGCGCTTCAGGGAGGACTTCAGAGTATCCTTGTAACGGCGAATTCGGCCTCCTTGACGACGAGAACCCGTCGCGACGTCTCCGTAGAAGAGTCGTTTGGGTAGTCGCTCTTCGTCCATGCGCACCAGGTGGCCGCTACAGCGCAGCTGCATTTGTTTCAGTATGGCGTAGATGCTAGGGATTCCCGTTCGTTCCAGTACTTCCGTGTCGGGGATTTGATCCTCCCATTTCAGCCTCAGGATGCGACGAAGACAACTGAGGTGGAAGTGGTTCAGTCGCCGGGTCTGCTTTTGTACACCGTCCAAGACTCCGCTACCTACAGTAGCGTCGGCAGGATGACGCCCTTGTACATCTTTAGCTTCGTGCTCAGTTGAAGCCCGTGACGATTCCAAACTGTGCTTTGGAGGCGGCAGAAGGCTTGACTGGCTTTCGAGATCCTGTTGGCGACTTCGTCATCGATCTTGGTGTTGCGGGAGAGGGTACTGCCCAGGTACGGGAAGTTCTCCACCACATGCAATTGGGTTCCGTTCACGCGGAGTTGCGGCGACGCGTTGGGGCTGTGGCTGAGTTGGGTGGCGGTTGGTGCATCACCACCGTCTTTTGCGTGTTAATGACCACACCGAAGTTCTCGCAGGCGGCGGAGAACAGGTTCATGCTCCGTTGCATCTCCTCTTCCGAGGTGGTGTTTAGGGCGCAGTCGTCGGCGAAGAGAAGTTCGTGGACGGCGGTTGTGGATACGCGCGAAGGGAAGTGCATCCGCCGTTGATTCAGCAGGTGACCGTCAGTCCTGTAGGCGATGCGGATCCCGGGGCGTTCGTCGCGGTAGGCGTCTATCAGCATGGCAGAGAACATGAGACTGAAGAGGGTAGGCGCCAGCACACAGCCCTGCTTCACTCCGTTGGTCACTGCGAATGCCTCTGAGACAGCTCCGTTGTCCGTGACTCGGGCCATCATACCGTCGTGCAGCTGACGCACCATCTGAATATATCGCTCCGGACAGCCGAATGTCTGCATGATCTTCCACAGTCCTTCACGATTCACCGTGTCGAAGGCTTTCGTCAGGTCCAGGAAGGTAGAGTACAGGTGGGTCCGCATCTCCTGACACTTCTCCTGAAGTTGACGGGCGGCGAAGATCGTATCTGTGGTCCCACGATGACGACGGAAGCTGCATTGACTTTCCGGCGGAAGGCCCTGTTCCAGATGTTTATTGAGGCGGTTGAGAAGAATGTGGGCGAAGATCTTCCCGGCGATGTTCAGCAAGGAGATGCCGCGGTGATTGTCGCAGACTTGGCGATTCCCTTTTCGTTTGCAGAGATGCACGATGGTTGCGTCTTTGAAATCTTGTGGGACTTCACCTTGACGTCACATCTCTTGGAAGAGCGCAGTCAGGTGATCCATCAGTTGGGGACATCCGTGATTGTAGACCTCAGCAGGGATCGCGTCCGATCCGGGTGCTTTCCCGCTGGAGAGCTGCTGCACGGCCCTGATGGTCTCCTGGAGAGATGGCGGGAGATCGATGTCCATGTTAGTCTCCACTTGCGGCAGACGCTCGATGGCGGCGTCGGAGATGATGGAGGGACGGTTGAGGACGCCTCGAATATGCTCGGCCCATCGCTTTAGGATTTGCGTGTTCTCAGTTAGGAGAGTGCTGCCGTTGGCGCTGAGGAGAGGAGCAGTGCCCTTCGTCGGCGGACCGTAGACAGCATTGATCACAGAGAAGAAGTTCTTCAATTCGTTCCGGTCCGCGTAGCCTTGGATCTCCTCAGTTTTGCGAGCAGTCCAGCGTCCTTCATCTCGCGCAGTCGTTGCTGAAGTTGGCGGCGGCTGCGGTAGAAGGCAGCTTTGGTGGCATCAGTGGGGTGATCTACGTAGACTTTGTGTAGGCGGTTCTTCTCAGCCAGCAGATTTCTGATGGCGGCGTCGTTGTCGTCGAACCAGTCCTGGTGTTGGCGGGGAGCGCGACCGAGGATGGCGAGCGCCGTCGACTGGACCGTGTCTCGCAGTTGACACCAGCGGTTCTCCACGGAGGCGTTCTCGGCAGCGGCCGCGTCGTCGGCGGCAGCGATAGGAAGGTTGTCTAGCCGTTGAGCTAGCTCATTGCTGAAATGGAGACGGTGAGCAGGCAAAGACAACAAAGCAACATTCAGCTTACCTGGGGGTCGCTTACCTTGTGGTCTCCTGCGAGGCTGAAGGCGAATACGCATCGTCGAGATTACGAGGCGATGGTCGGTCCACCCGTCAGCAACCGCATTCGCCTTCGTCACCAGAACGTCCCGCTTATCTTGGCTCCGGACTAGGACATAGTCCAGCAGGTGCCACTGACGCGACCGAGGATGCCTCCAGGTGGCCTTCTCTCGCTCCGGCAGACAGAAGAACGTGTTCGTCAGGGTGAGGCGGTGTTCTGCGCGGGTGCGGAGAAGCAGCAGGCCGTTGTCGATGGAGCCGCGGAGACCGTGGGGACCCAGCACTCCTCTCCAGGCAGTATGGTCTGTGCCGACGCGGGCGTTGAAGTCGCCAAGGACAATCAATTTGTCCGCCTTCGACACAGTCGCCAAGAGGGCGTGCAGGTCGTCGTAGAATTTGTCTCTGTTGGCGTCGGGGTTGGTCATCGGTGGAGCGTTGGCGCTGATAATGGTGGCGAATTTGCCTCCCGGCCGGCGAGGCAGACGGAGGCTCATCAGGCGATCGTTGATGCCCTACGGCAGACAGGGCAGTCGTCCCACGATGTCGTTCCGGATGGCGAAGGCGACACCCGCGTCTCGTCGCTCTGCCCTGGGTCGACCAATCCAGAAGTAGGTGTGGCCGGCACCCACCTCCTCCAGTTTGCCTTGTTCGGAGAATCGGGTCTCGCTGAGTGCGGCGATGTCCACCTTGTAGCGCGCCAGTTCTCGTGCCATTAGCGCTGTCCTCCGTTTCAGTCGGTTGCTCTTGGGGTTGTCTAAAAGGGAACGAAAATTCCAGGCTGCCAGGGTGAGCGGGCTCACCCTGGCAGTCTGGCGACTGCGGCGGCGAAAATTAGGAGTAGGAGAAGAAGAAGAATAGGCTGGAAGAGGAAGAGAGTGATTGTTGTTGTTGTTGTTGTTTCGGTTTTGGCTGTTTCGACCGTGTGTTTTTGTCTGCGGCCACGGCCAGCCTACAGACGGCGTGGTTCCCAGCGATCTTTTGGGCACCTTTTCTAGCCCCCTCCCCCTTGCGAGGGCAGGCAACGCATCCCTGAACAGGGCTGCCCGGTTATCTCAGACGGCTGCCGGACTCCACTATGGGCCACGGCATTTTGTTAGTGAGAGAACGACCCAAATTAGCCTGGGACCTTTGTGGTGATGGTGATGTGGTGGAGTGAAGTAGGAAAGAACATGCACACAACCAAACGCTATGGGCCTTAGAACTAGAGTGGACAAGCAGACGCAGTCATCCGTCAGAGACAGAAATGAGAGGGCTCCATTCAAGTGTCAAGCACCGTACCACCTAGCTATTAGCAGAGAGAGGCACAGACTGACAGACAGACAGTCGCAGCAGGCATCAAGATTTTTATCTAGCTATTAACAGACAGACTAACATATAGAGGGCAGGCACCAAGAGCAGCATAAGACACGGCACTTCAACAACTCATCGCTGGATTTGGGAACGTGGGGCAGGTGTCTGTTTTTGTGTCGCGGTTGGTGATGTGCGAGACGGCCGCCTGAGCGGCCGCCGTTGGGACAGTGAAGGAGGAGGAGGAGGAGAAGCACTCCACTGACACTTTTCACTTAAGTGAGCGAGTGAATGGTGAGTGTGCTTCGGGGCTCCTTCTCCGTGTGACTCCTGTGGCGCATGCGTGTTCCGAGCATGACAGTACCGTGGTGCGCCAATCGCGCTGGCTTGGAATGCTGCTAACTGGTGCCTCGACGCAGTCCACACATTCTGATCAGTAGTTTGCGTGCAGTAGCTGACTGATGGGCTGAAAGTCAGACTGTCACGGCTCCTTCTTAAGGCGACCTTTGTCACTCTCTCATGCCAATCACGTCCTGCTGGGCAAAATCCTGGCGTTTGTGTTTGGGGGACCATGTCGTGCATGTGACGCGCGCAGGGAGGGTAACTAGCGACTGGTCCAGTGTTTGTTGTGGGCCGGGGAGTGTGGTGGTATGCCTAGGTGCGCGTTCGGCCGCGCCGGCCACCTACATCTCCTCACCTTGTGGTCTATTTGACAATGTCGACACCGGCTTCATGTGCGGGGTGGGGGTTGGAGGAGAGATTACGGCAGATGTTGCACAAGTCTACACTCACCATCAACAAACTCACGCCCAAATCGCCGTGCGTGCTTCACCTTAGTGTGGAGCACGCGATGAACATCGCCGTTTATGACGATCGAGCATCATGAGTTCTGAGGTACCATCAATAGAGGTATGTGCATCCATCAGCATGTAGAAAAATTGATTTTGCCAGGCTATAAAATGACTTTCAGAAAGGTTCTAGCTTATTACGACAAATGGAGAACGCATTGGTGAGGGCTCAAGTAGGGCGTCCATCGCTTTTTGTCGACTGAGACAATCTCAGTCTGCTATGTCAGTATGTGGTCCCTGAGTGACCTTAATGCTTGGCTGACCATTCGGATACTGTGTTGTTGCATTTCGAAGATGAGAGCGGGCACGGTGGCTTACGTGTGAATTAGTTTATAGTGGCAGTTAACGTGCGTCGCAACTACCGCACTACATCCTTCTTCTTCTTCTTCTTCTTCTTCTTCTTCTTCTTCTTCTTCTTCTTCTTCTTCTTCTTCTCCACTTGGACACAAAGACAAGACCGAGCCAAGGAGTCCGGAGGCGGTCGATGTCGCTGGTTGCTGGTGCGGCAAAAATCCACCTTTAGGCGTACCATCACTCCCTCCGGTCCATTGCGTGCCCTGAGCAGGATTTTATACATTACGGAAAGAACAGGGAAAGCGGCTTAGATCCCAAATGCCTCGAAGTGTGCAAATGACCTGAGCCTATGGCATTACCGACAAACACAATGGAGACTGGTATAGCCATTTCCGGTTAATTAGCCGTCGTCAGCCAGTCATACACAACCCCGAAGTGTGCAACACCCGAGGCTCGAACTCGCGACCTGTCATTTAGAAGTCTAACGTCTCTCAGCACTGAGCCACGGGCTCGTTGCCCTGTCGGTTTCGACCGGGAATATGCGATGGTAGGGGCGCTCACTGATCGTTCTTGCGGAACTCACTCTTTCGAGCCTCGGATGTTCCACACTTCGGGCTTGGGTATGATTGGCTTACAACGGCTTATAAGCAAGAAATGGCCATTCCAGCCTCCCTTGTCTTTGTCGGTAATGCCATTCTGCCTATACCATGCGCCGCTGTGTGGCTGCTGGTTGGGCACGAGAGAGAGAGCCCGTAAGGCACAACGGAACGAGCGAGTTCCTTAAGAACGATCGGTGAGCGCCCCCCTACTATTGATCTGAGCCTGTTGTCACACCCCGGAAGTTAGCATTTGTTATGGGTGTGCATTTCCAATAACGCCTGTCGGACTCTTGCCTAGCAGGTGGTAGCGTGGCAACTGCGGCCTTCAAACACTACTCTCTGATCTGCATTTGTCTCTGATAATGGGTTTGGGTGAGAATCCGAAACGTCAGGCCAATAAGATTTATGTTCCAGTGATCGCATTTTCTTCTGAACTGCTTCCTGGAACTCACCTATTCACTTCTATATAGAAATGTATCGACTTCCCCTGAAGGAAAAATCTGATTTTACTGGGATGTTCTGTTGAGTTTATTAAATTACGGTTACTCTGGAAACACTACTACTTCGAAATTGCACATAACTCGGGATCCTGCGTAGACAGTCGGCAACAACTTTTCTGTCCGTAGAATGCATTTGCACATTGCTGCCTCAAGCATCACTTTTTGCAAAACAGTCCACCATCGGAGACACGAAATTACTTTACTAGATCCCAAGTGGTAACGCATGCCAGCATCTTTTTCTCAACATGTAATTTCTGAGCATATGAAAGAATTTTTGAGACGTCCTTAGTTCCCCACTAACTACGAGCTGCGACGAAGCAGGATTTGGCCTCTCGTAGAGTTGTTGTCCTTGACGAACTTAAAGAACAGATGCTTTGATGGTTTTTCGGCAGTGGTGCCCCAGGGATTGCTCAGTTGCCGTCTAAACCGCAGGAGTGTTAATCAAGCGCATTCTAGTTTGTATTTTTGAAAATAATGCTGCCGACAGGACCTTCACTTCACAGGCGAAGGCGCCAGGAAATACGAAAGGACAGATTAGTCATGAGTTATTTTTGCTGCTCATAAAAAGCCAGAGACCGAAAAGCGTTCGTGGTAAGGAAGACGGAGCCGCCAAAGCTTCCATCGTGGTAAAGGCAGTATCGGCATGCCAGAACTATCAGAAAAAGGCACAATCTACAAAACGTTGTCACACCCCCGTGATAACACAGCTGGATTCACAGCTTTTCACGGTGAAGCCGTCTGCGGGAGTACTTTCTTTTCAGCTTGCTCTCCGTACGGTCGTCTTACAAACGTGCACATCGCAAGAACGCCCTTCGGATAAATCGTATCACCATGTGGCGTTCTGAAGGGCAGCTTGGTTAAACGGCTGTCTGGCTGTCTCAATCGCCTGACACTAGCTATCATAGACCAGTTGCAGGAAAGAATAAATTGTCCAAGTTGATGCAGCTGGTTCGTCCTGGCTGTTAGACTAACCTTTGTGCGCTCATTTCACCGTAAACAAATACCTAAATTGTCCCGATGATGACTAAGTTAAGAAGTGGCACCGATGAAAACGCGGTTTAACCGTGTCGCAGAATATTGGGCTTGACAACGCTATAAGCCGTGCGATCTTATTCTGTATTTTCGTCAGTTTTTGCCGCCGTAGGTTTCGATCGACGACGTTTCGACCCAAGAATATGTGGTTAATCTTGATGTTCATCTGCAAGGACATACTTGCATCCAATCAAAATATATCTCGTTCATTGAAAGAGAAATTTAAATCAAGGCGAGGAGATTATACTCCAAAAACGCCCCAACACACACTACACAGATGTTTGACATATGTTTTCCCCAATGCTGATCTACGTGCTAATTTAATGCACACAGGAATTTCGCGTATAAATGTCCAAGTTCTGAGACGGGTAAATGCTGAATGCCAAGTCCTTCTTTGACTCCACATCCGCCGATTCCTGGCTGATGAGCGGAAAGCTGTTGAAAAATTAAGATTGGTTATTGCTTAACTACACTACTTTTAATGCGATTCGGACTGTGTTCTTCATGAAAGTCGGCTCTCAGGTGGTGTGCGTATATTCAGGTGTATTTTACATTAAGACGATCATTAATACACAGAGAAACGAATTCCTAATTTCCACAGTATGAATGCTTAGTAAGGACCAGAGCGTATATTTCGCCGATTATATTTGCCTACATGTTACAATTTCCACGAATTTAATTCAGTATTTTGTGGACTCTAATGCAGGTACTCGGACTTATGCCAACCAAACCAGACTGCCCAGATCTTCCCCGATCCCCTCATAAACGGCTGAACTAAATACCGTTCACAATGGGCGAATAAATAAACAGTCCTGATAATTACAAAAATCACTAGTAATTAATTTATTCAATACACATATAAGTGGCTGCACCGCTCTCCCAAGGAGGTGCTGGCTAAAGGCCTAGACACGTGTTCCTTCAGTTTTACACCGCCTAATGGTGTGCGTTCAAGCAAATTCGTACGCCAACGCCTCCTTCGACGGGTCATGCGCTGTTTTCACGATCATAGTTGTGGGAGGGGGGGCGAGGGGAGAGAAAGGGTCTGGATCTAACGAATGCAGGTTCGAAGTCCCAGCTCCCGGTTATTTTTATAACCCCTAACCACATTTCGAGTTTATTTATCTAACCATCATAAGTGTAACATTTTCATGTTCGCACGACTTCGCAGCCAGAAAAATAGTCGCCCACGCCGGAAACAAAACAGGCCGAGAATTGACTGAAGCCTGGACCTCGGATGAGAACTCGGTCAATCGATTAATCGATCTGGCGTCGGCGTACAGAGCCCTTCGTAGTCACCTCCAGTCGTTCGACGTCGGTCGATGATTGGGCCTACGTGCCTTATAACTGTCGCCTATCCTGTTTCTGCCACTACCTCTGACGATGGACTCCTGTACGAGTCTGACAGCTCAGGATAATAAACGAAGTGTTCCGGTGTTCGACTCTTCTCCTTCAGATTTGTTTTGTGTTTATTTGCCAGACGGTCGAATCTTATGGAAGTCGATTTATGCAAAATAAATCCTCCTCGGAGGCTGAGTTACTGCTTACCCGCGAGCATAAGCTAAGTTACGAAAACCGGCTCCGTCATCAGGGGAGTGTACCAATGTTTGCCAGAATGTGGGGAAGGCTCCTTATTGTGTTCTGGTAGTGGCTTCGTCAGCTTGGGGATGTGAGTGGCGCTGTGACAACTTTGACTGCTTGGGCCTGACAGTTCGAGCGTCGATTCCGAGGACTTACACGCATACGCACACGAACGAACGATTATGTCCACCGCGTGCCTCTCAGCCTGACGGACAGAGGGGTGCCGGTGTGAGCGAACTGGCAGCGAGGGCCATGGCTTGCTGATGCCTGCATAGAACACGCTTTTAGACCTTTCACACTTTGGGCTTACCCTTGTTACTAGCCCAATGTGCCACAAAACTATTTTGAGTCCGATCGGCATTTACGTTGTTCTGAAGCTTTAGCGGGTATTCGAAGACCAAAATGACCTCTCCAATCGCATCGCCACATCGAAAAATGTCAACAAGGAAGCTCTTTTGAATTGGATATCAACTCGTGGTGCACAATGGCAGTACAATCATTATAACGCCGGTTTGCAGCTACTGTCAAAAACGACAAGGCTTCGCTACGCCAAGCTCTATTTCACGAAAGTTATTGTTTAATGAAGAACAATAAACGGGAAGATGGTTCTTTTATCTGCCCGAAAATTGCGTGTCAATGGAAAAACATCGTCGCAAGTCGATATTAAAGTTGGGATAAAATACCTCCGTAGCCCTTATGTGCAAGACGGAGTTTTTGGACAAAGGTTATGATTAAGGCAGTGATGCGTAAATCGACCACATCGTTACTTCTTACTAATAACGGGACTAGTCACTTGTGTCCTGTTTTGTCTTGCCCCACGACCAATACTCCGTCGGAGTATGTGCGTATTTCAATCACAATGACCTGTACGGATGGGGCACTAACAGGGTGTTGGAGGACACGTACCGACTGCCTTCCAGAACGACCCCTCAGAAAAAACCGCCATGCAACAATAGTGTGCACTTATTTCCCAGAATGCTATTTTTTACAGCATACACCCGATAGTGAGGTATATTTCTGCATTAGCCGAAACTGCGAGACCTTTGGCATTCATTGCACACTCATAGCGCCGTCGTGCCAAAATCTACGTCATCCTCAGGCTCTCCACCCTCTGCTCTACAGACGTTAGGCGGTTGGAGGATCAGTCAGCGCACAGAGGTGGATGCCTCCTTCAATTTCGAACGTGTTTTGCCAAATCAGATCGATCAGGCTTACTGCAGACCTGCTGTCCGTTTCAAAACGCAAACACAGCATTCCACTGTCATTTTTAAAGCAGGATCTCATATGACTTAACTCGCAACTGTCGCTTGCCCATCAGTTAGAATGAGGTAAATCCTGTAGTTTGCATTGGGCGTTCTTAAAATGAACGGAGTAACGCTTGACTGCATGGAATAGGAGACTTCCTTGCCTTATTTCGCAGTCGAGGTTTGCTGTTGCACCCTTTCTAACCCTCTTCTCTTGCTCGGTTCGGCAACGGTAGAGTGATGGACCCCAATTAGATGTGGATCGTGTGCTGATGTGTGAACTTGGAAATCCAATTAAGTACCGGTGACTGGTAGTTTCAATCAAGAGCGGAGAAACAAAAGAAAGCAGATCAAGTGGGCAGGAGGTGAGGTATAACAGGAATGAAATGAGGGATAACAGATGTGTCTGCCGGGGGGTCCTCGCATGACATGAACCACAGTATACCGACAGGCTATTGGGGTTCTTTATCCTACCTTTGCTGGAATATCCAGCTGGCTACCTTTTCTGCGCACATAAGTCATTTTGCACGGCAGGATCGTTTTCGTTCCGACCGTCTTCTTACATTCAGTTCGCTTACTGTCCGGTGTGCTGCCACACTCCCCCGCCCATTGCCATCATTCCCGCACAACATGCCTCACGGCATACGGACAGGTTATTGATGTCCTTTACCCTACCGTCGCCTTCGGTTCTCGATAATGGATTCGAGCGTGAATAAGAGATGTCAGACAAAATGCGTTATTGTTCCAACGATCACGTCCCATTCCTGAAATGGGATAATTATGACAAAGTGCTTCCGAAATTCAAAAAGTGTCGATGTCCTTGCAGTTCTCGGTTGTGAGAAGACTGCTTTTCATCATAAAAAATGTCACTGCTTTCGGTCAACATCCTCGCGGTTTGAATTTTTCGGAATGCCAATCGGCAAAATTTATGCATAAACAGTTCCTGTTGATTTTACACACTTGCCTACTTCTGTATTGGATAAGGAGTTATGACTCGCTACCCCTCTTGACCGGTCCATAATTGCACAAAAGCCTTGCCCATATTTAAAAATATAACTTATAGAACTGCATAGTGACTTTAGTTTTCTTGTTGAAAATCTCATATCCAGTTAGGGTAAGCAAATTTTCTCATTTGAAATTAAATCAAAATGAAGTCACATTCTGTTCTTCCATTCAAATAATAACTTATGCATCGGCTAGATTGGCGCTGAACTTAAGTTTTCCTTGACCTCATTATTTCTATACGTTCTGAAGCCAATTAAAATAAAAAGGGTTACTCCGTGGGAACCAACTAAGAAAGAAGACATATTTGGTTATTCCATCCAAATCATAACATATGCATCGACTAGATTGGCGCTGGAACTGGACTTCTCGTCGATCAGTTCATTTACAAATGTTCTGAAGAACAACGAAACCTTGCGAAGACTGATGGATCAAAATTGGAGGCAGGACCTTGGTAGGTCCGATTGGCGATTGCAAACTCCAGACAGCTGTAACCCTCGGGATAGTAGTCCTCGTGAAATTTGTTCGCGAAGAGATATGGGGATGTAATCAGATCGGGCAAACTCTGAGATCCTAAAATGCATATCCAGCGGACGTACTTTGTAGGACAGGGTCTAGAAGACCATATTTTATAGCGCAGCATTCCTTCATATTGTGCAAAGTCTTGGTTCACTTTGCCATTTTTGTATAGGCCTGGACAGGCTCCAGGGGCACCAAGCTGTGTATTGTAGACAAGCGTTCCATAGAACTGTTCATCAGGATGCCGATGGTAGGAGAAATTAATCAGCATATCTCGGACTTCGAGTGCCCTCTTGTCGTTCAGCATGAATTCAACGAATTCCCTCAAAAGCGCAACGTGGACTGTGTTCTTGAGCCATATTAACTGAAATTATAAAAGAAGGAAAATTATACATATATACCTCATGAAATGTACAACACAGTCCGGATCCATTGCAAAATTTCATGTGGTGTCTTTTTAAAGGCATAGAGGAATATATGATATTTCTTACACGGAAAGCATGCATCTTGTAGACTGAAACAGCTAAACGCTGATGCAATGGCAGATCAGGCTGAAAATTATTAGGGAGTTGGGAAACATTTTAAAACCATAATACACACTTTCTTTGGGCATAACATATGAAGACAATGTGATGTTCCACCAAACGAGCGAAACAAAACATATTTTGTGGATGTTTTATATAAAATATATTCGAATTTATAAGGCCATCGAAAATCAAAAGGAAAAATGCATGCTAGTGTAGTAGTCATTTTTTACCGAGCGCGGTTTCTGCAGGAGGTCAAAAAAAGTGCACCCACATGCCGACATTCTGGCGAGTCCGAAATGTTATAGGGTTATGCTGCATGATAATCAGTATAACAAGCAAACTTAAGTAATCCTTCCCAATCGGAAACGCATTCCGGAATTTAGGCAAACATTTCATGAGATCGGTCACGCACTGTACTCTTCGGCGGCTTGTGCGATTCTTCTTGTATCGATTTATTCCCAGTTACTTAACTCTGCCTTTATGTTTTACATGAAGTCTCAAATACACTTCCATAGGTTAGTTTTGTTACGAACTCGTCTCCTATATTTGGGGGCACATCTAGACAAAAGGCAACCATTTCTATCCCCGCCTTCTGAATGGGCATTTCCGACCAAACTAGCGAGCTTTTTCTTTAAAGCAATATCGACCTGGCCTGGAGGATTTGATGGCCATTGCTGTATGAATTACTTTCACCAGACAGACACACTTACACCTGGCACCCAGAATAACTGCCTTCAGACCAAGCGGGCCGTTCTTGAGATCAATCGAAACTCAAGCTTTCAATACGCCCTGCTATTTATCCAGATAAGCGAAGCGTCTGAACGCTAGCTGTCTTTAATTATACGCTCATGGAGGGGTCACCAGCTGTCGTTCTGCTCTGTCAACTTAGGACTATCAAAGTATCGCCAAAAGGACTGTGACACTGTAATGGCATTTGCATCTTCTTTGCGACCCAGCTTCAGCCGCTTACTGAAAAGTTGCATGCGGGGACACGACAGACACCGCTGAAACGTGCTTCCGATCGTAATGGGCTTTCATAACGTCCGCCATTTTTGTTCTCCGCGTCAAGGTCACAAACATTCTCCCTTCTCTGCACGAACATTCTGTGACTTACAATGAACATATAAGATGCAACAACAAATGCTGAGCGGGAAACAAATTGATTCGCTTGCATTTCACGTCAAATGCGCCTATCAGATTTGATGAAGGCTGTATTATAGGACACATGATTAAAGATGTAATGAAATAGCCTCATTTAATAGACCAAACTACTTACTGGGAATGATGGTCTACGTCTCGGTATTCGGAATTTGAATCGATTTTTTAATGAGGCCTCAACGATGTTGGATCCATTTAGCATTTTCAGTGCCAGGACCAATTCCAAGTTTGTCTTCAGAGGCAATTCTTGGCCTGTCAGATTTATGAAATACTTCCACTTCCCCATTTGCAGGAGCATTCGCGCGGCAACCAGTTCCTGCTCCAAGACCGTGTAATCTCCCCAGACAACGCTGACGCTTTCAGTTCGAGGAACTACACCAACATTGGAACCGAAGCATTTTGCGATTTCTTGGACTGCGTCATAGAACTCCTGTGGTGACTTTCTATCTACGTGAATGACGTAGAAGTTTTGTGGCCGATATATGAGACGTAGCAGACGCGCCACCTGATTGATGCTTTTGTACACAGTGAGGATAAAACCGAGAGGAAAATCCCTCTCTTCGGCTGTTATCGGCACTTCGGTGGGGAAGAGGTCTCGTTTGAATGCCTCGCAGAGTTTGCCAGAGTCCTTGTTCAGGGTGAGGAAGTACTGCATACTGTGCAACGGCGTCAAGTGCTTGAACTCGTGATGATCCTTGGATGGGTTGTTGGAGAAGAGGAACGCGCATCGTCTGGCCTTACTCTCCTCCGTGAAATTATGTATAAATTTTGTTTTGGTTGCCTGAGACCAGGAATTCCAAAAAATGACAATTATAAATAAAGTGCAGCAGACGGCAATTATGAAATTCGTAGCTCCTCTGCACGCCATCCGACGTCAACGCGTTTTCTCCGCTCTGTTATGAGTCGTGTAAAGTAATTAACACCCACTTTTAAGTTTTTTTGAGATTTATGTGCTGTGTCCTAGTACGTCAGTTGAGCTCGATTGGCTACTTCTTGAAAAGGCAGAGTGTATGATCTGCACGAAGACCGCACGACATTTTCTTCAACTGGGACAGTAAATACCTCTCTAAAAGTCTTCGCGTTTGCTCGTTGCTACAGTAGCTGCAGCACTTTTTCACATCCATTGGTTATTTTGCGTAGCCACTACAGTTTTTCGTCGGTTCTGGGAGTAAATTTAGTGTAATTAGTAGTTACTAGTGGATAGACTCTTGCTTGTCTCCTAGTTGATCATATCTCCGTCAGTCAAAGTCGTATGCCTGCTACAAACTTATTTAAGAAAAGCTCCCAGAGATTATTGTGATGCGGACTATGAAACGTGTCGCTGTAAGTTTCAGACTGACACATCCCATTATGCATATTTTGCAGAAGTTCGGAATGCCGTTCTAGAGGCCTTTTTCTTATCTTAAAACTCGATCAAGCCCGTTTAATGAACAGACGTGAACGCGCGGCTGACGACTTGTATTTCTTTGGGGTGTAGGTCTTTACGGATCTAGTGGAAGCAATGTGATAACGTGAAAACATTCCTTATTCAGTTTAGTCGCATCCGAGTGCACGATTTAAAACACCCGCCTCAAACATTTTTTTTCTACCCAAGAATTCGAGCTAAAGCAATGATCTGTTTCGAACGGAAGGATTTCTCGAATTTCCACCAAATACGTTCACAGTCTTAATTGCCTTGAGGCGTTTAGTTGGGGATGGTATTGTTTTACGGAAGTAACTGATCGCTGTTCTTGATCTCAAGTGGGTAAGCTTAAAGGAATGTAAACGGGACAACCGAATCGTTTTCTAAACACCTCAAACCTTGTCATTTTGCACACGATGCCAAGGCGAGGCGTCAGGGTCCTGAATTTAGGTAAATTAAAATGAGTGTATTTTCTTACTTTAAAATCGTCACAATAAATTTACGAGCCATTATATTCTTTGATTATACAAGTTGCTTTGATTCGGAGAGCTGACATAAATCCCGCAGTTGCTGCCAGCAAATGATCAGAGTTCGGTAGTGATCAATGTTGCACCGTAGTGTTGCTTAGTAGATAATGCGTTCATGTCCAAGCAAGGTGCATTACGTGAAACCTGATGACAGCACCAGCTATGAGGGTTTCCAGACGCCTTAAACGTTGCGCATTTTGCACGCTCGTCCAGGGATTTCAAATAAAAGCGCAGGAATTGTGTCCACACAATTTCGCCGAGCAAAGCGTTCATAAATACGAGCGAAAATGTGCGTTGTGATATATCCGGACAGCTAACCTAAACTTCGGTTACGAATCCGAGCGTGGTTTTCTTTGATGGAAGATTAATGTACCGCAAAAGTTCTACGAAACGGGGCTTGTCGTAGCTGAAAATTGACTTTTTGTGAGATGCTGATCGTGAGAATTAGTTTGTTAACACACAATTTACTTCTACGCAATCAGGCGTTTTTTCGATCTTAGAAGTCAGATCAGCAAAACTGCGCGGCTTAGTGATGCAAGGCTCAGTAATAGCGCACACAAGTATAAATGAGCCGAAATCGTTTTGCTCTTTGGAAAATTATATGGGTTGACACAGAACTGACCACGACTGAAGAGTCATTTTCAGATTGCAACATATGGCACATTAGTTTTCTTGCGGTCTAGCATCTACACATACGTAATTTAAAAACTGGAACAATCAAAACATCATCAGTTCCAGCAAAATGTCATTCTATCGGTCGGCACCCTGCCGTACATTCATAATCTTAGAACGGAGTCCAACAGTGAACAAAGATAGTAAAACGGCCGCAATATGCGGAGAAAGGCGTGTTCTACCGTTTGAGGTCGACAAATGACATTATGTTCATTTAGCGTTATGAAAGTGACGGCCAAATTTGTCAATTTGTCTTTGTTTGGTGGTGCAAAAGTAGAAAATATCTAGACATCCTTCAAATAAATGCAATATTAATGCACTACCTAAAAAGGTAGCTTATAAGAAAGTTGTTCTATGCGGGCGAAAGCGTATTCTTTATTGCCTTTTGTTGCGGGCAATCATTTTATTTGGCAATGAGGTTTCCCGCTGGAGCGAGTGGTCAGATGTGGTAATGTAGTCCCACCTGAAGTAAACCAACCCCAGCCACTTGTAATACAGTACCGGCGGTAATAGGGATTTTTACAGGTGCGGTCGGGGAACGTACAGGTGACGAGGTCAAGTATTTCTATATAATAGGAAAAGCTATTGAAAATGCCCTGTTGTACTTTGAGTGGTTTAGAAATAGTTGGCCTAACCCCTAACCCTAGCCTCAATCCCCAACTCTTACCTCTTATCCTAATCCCTAACCCCACCTCCAACAGTATTGCGTCCATCAGATGGGGCTACATAACGACATCCTAACAAGTGAATCTGTAGCGACTAAGCGGCTAGAGTAAATACTCTGAGTCCTCGCTTGTGCGCTACCATCCTCGGGTCAGATCCCAAGTTGAGGAGAGAAGACGGGAGAAACCAGAATGAGTGTTTTATTGAACACAGAACCCAAAGTTGTCCTCTCAAGCAGCAGTGGCCACTGGCGAAGCCAGGGCTGGTGTTGACCGCGCCCTGTCTCTCTTGAGAGTCCCCGAGACAGTGGTGGCAGCCGCTTTTGCAGGCTCGTTGGCCAAGCTCAAGTGGTCTCCAATGTGTGTGTGTTGCATTTGCCGAGGGACGGAGTCCCAGTGGCTTAGGTTGTGGTTGCAGGAGGTGGGGTGCGTTCAAGTGGACGCAGAGGCTGCTGCGGCTGTGTGAACGCAGGTGTGTTCCCGCTGAAGTCGGTCGAGTGGCTTCAGGTCAGGGCGTCTGGGACGGCTCGTTGCAAGGGGTGAATGACCTTGAGGCAGCGAGGTCTAGGACAATGACGCCAGACCGGCCACGATGGCTGCCCACTGCAAATCTTCGCATACAACCCAAGCACTCACTAATGCGGTCAGGGACATCAAGCAGTACCTTTTTTTGGACGTTTAAACAAACACATAATACAGAACCTTCCTTTGTGGGTAATCGATTGAAAACACTGAAAATCATGAAGTATTTGGCCATATATCAACGCTGATCTGACACTCAGCATAATACATAACAAGGGAACGTTTAAATTTAACGGGATAAAAGTTCTCTTTATATGCACAAAATGGTATGTTTACGATTACATTTGCCAAACCTAGTTAAATTAATTAGTTTCCCATCGGCCTAAAACATGCAATCTTGTGAAAACTCTTATCCCTATGACGTTTCTATCGGCAAGATCAAGCAAAATCCTGTTTGATTGTTGTATGGACGATGGCCAAAAACTGCAGACCTTGGTAAAGTTTCATTTTAAGAGGACTTTTCCGTCAATGAGCGTAGGGGTTCAGTGCCACGCATCCAAGACAAAGGGTCTACGCCCTCATTTTTGCCCACAGTTGACTCATCTTGAAAGCAATTCGGTTACAAAGAAAATAAACAATCTTTAAGTCTCTTTTCTGCAATATTTTAGATTTGAAGGAGAGGTTACGATAAATAAAGAGAATATTTGTGGTAGGGATTGATCAGCAAGACTTGGACGTGTGTTTAAAATCAGGAATCTAGAGATTTATACAAACAAATAGGCATCAATTTACGTGACTCCTAGAGAATGTGTTGCCTAAAAGACAGGTAGACATGTGCTGCACCAACCACACTCTCCCCTCCGTCATCAACCTGTGCCAAGTTTGATGACGGAGTCGAGCAGATCGGAGGTTTGTTCAGGAGCAGTGGCTAAAAACGCCAAACAGTCCGTCTGCGCGTGTCGCACACAAAACGTGGTCTGATGGGCTGTGGAGGACAATTAGCCAAATTCGATATCCCTCTCTCTCTCGCTCTCTCCCGGGCACTGGTTTGTTGTCCGATATAGTTAGTTGCTGGTGCGGAGAGTTTCCGAAAATGATTGAAAAATTTATAGTCCGTCTGTGCGGATTCCACACCAGCTGGCGCTCCATACAATATAAACGATTCTCACAAGAAAGGGACGGGCTGTTCGGACCTCACATGCATTATTATGCCATAGAGGCTAGACAGAGTAATGATTGGAGGACCAGCCCACGATTTACGTGAAAGTTACCTATTCCATGCATGTGGTGGATGCTTTCGGGCGGGTGTGTGCGAGGTATGCTTTTGCGGGGCGATGTGTGGTGATGAGATTTGGTCTGCGTTGGTTTATTGAAGAGTCTCATGGAGGCGCACAGGGTCGAGTGGGTCAACAGGCGAGGACTGCATGTGTGTGCGCATCACGGGTGAGTGGGTGGGAGGGGGGGGGCGGGGGGTGTACATTGAGGATTCAGGCACTCCTTCGGAGTTTCCCCTCGGTGGATTTGGAAGTGACCAGTCCGGTCGATGAGTGATGTTTAGTGGCTGTCGCGACGAGACGGGTAGTGATCACGTCCTCAGTGCTGGTCGTGGTTAACAGGACGGCAGGTGTATTCGGAGCGGTTGTGGGGATGGGGGGGTGTGTTTTGGCGTTGCCGCGGGTGCCATGACATCAATGATGGGAATGGTAGGTGGTGGCGATTGGATATCGGGCATTTGCTTACCGACTGTGGTCTTGGTTGCCGTCACCGTCGTAGGCATGAACGTCGCGGAGTTTCCGACGGGTGTGATGGTGGTGGCGTTTGTGGAGACAGTAGGTGGAGTTCTCGAGCGCTTAGTGCATTGGTCCAGAAG